AAGAGCATCGCTTCAAGCACAGACCTCCCCGTGTGGCTTCTGCATGAAGGGAAAAGCCCTCGCAGCACATCTCATACTGGTTCTTAGTAGGGAATGAGGGAAGCAGCTACACTATATACCATTAGAGGATTCTATAGAGTATCTACCTAGGTACCCTATGTCCCCCTATTTATACCTAAACCCTAAACCCTAAACCCAAAACTGATCTCCTGACGAAGCATTCGGGTGATCTTCCTTAGCGAGGCATCTGGCGCGGACAGGCGGCACGGCTAAGCCTGCCAAGCCTGCCCAGACCGATGGCTTCAGAACCCTTTAAAAGAATTTAGGGTTAAGGGTTTCGGGTTTAGGGTTTGAGTTTAGGGTTTAGGGTTGTTCAGGGACAATGTAACTACCCCCAAAAAAAAAAGCCCCCACCCGCCCCCTGCACTGATTCAGCGAAGCTCCTTGAAAGCATTAAAGTCCCCCCAAACCCTTAAAACCCCCCAAGCCACAGAAATTCCCCTAAACCCTAACCCTAAACCCTAAACCCTGAACCCTAAACCCTAAACCCAAAATTCCCCGGGTCCACCGCAGTGGAGAAGCTCGAGCTGGCTCATCCAGAAACGCAACTTCGGCGACTGCACGAGCTTTGCAAACTCCTGGAGTTTAGGGTTTAGGGTTTAGGATTTTGGGGGTCTACAACGTTCAGGGTTCAGGGTTTGGGGTTTGTAAGGTTCAGGATATAATATTGGCGGGCCTGAAAAGATTTTGCGAGTTTAGGGCTTCGGGTTCAATTTTTTGGTTGCCGTTTGGGCTACGTATGTGCAGGTTGAGTTTTCCACGCCTAGTGAAGGGGACTTCAGGGCATTGTGTGGGGAACGTTGGAGGCTGGGGGATTTGAGTCCTAAACCCTAAACTCTAAACCCGATCTTCTATACCATAAACTCTAACCCCTAAGCCCCAAACCCTAAGCCCTAGGCCGAAATCTCCACCTTCCAGAACATGCAATGTCCTTCATGGAGGGGGGGTGGGGTGTAACATGGCAACCCCGGGTTCTCCCCAGCACTCCCCCTCCCATGATTCGGATTTGGGGCTTAGGCTTTAGGCTTTAGGGTTTGGGTGCCCTAAACCCTAAACCCTAAACCCTAAACCCTAAACCCTAAACCCTAAACCCTAAACCCTAAACCCCCACTTCCCCAGCCGTATACATAACGATCCTTCGGACAATTCCCCGATCTCCGTCAACCCCAGGAGAGAGCCATCCCCAAGGGTCCATGTGTAGCACTACTATGGAATTAGGGTTTAGGGTTTAGGGTTTAGGGTTTAGGGTTTAGGGTTGAGGGTGCCCCAAAACCCTATTTAGCATGTTTTTTTTTTTTTTTTTTTTTGGGGGGGGGGTGCCGAATTCCATAACAGTACTATAGATGGACCCTCTGGGCATACTTACTTGCGAGCTTGTGACACATGTATTTTGAACCCAGAAGCCGAACAACAAGGTAACGAAAACAGTGCATATGCCTACGTGCAAACTCTAAACCCTAAACCCTAGTAGGGTTTAGGGTTCAGGGATTAGGGCTTAGGGAACACTGAACCCCTAAACCCTAAACCCTCACCTCCAAGTTGATTGCGCCATCCCCACTGGAGTCCATGGTCTGGAACAGCTTGCGAACCTGGCGTGCCAAAAAAGCGGTTTACTTGGAGGTTCAGGGTTCCCGTAAGTACGCTCATAGGGATATAATTGGGTTATAAGTACAGTTCACAAACCGGGGCTAGACCCAAGAGTAACCTAGGTACAAAAAGGGTGCCCTTTTGTTTCAAACAGGATTCTAAGGGGCCCTAAACCCCAAAAATAAGGGAACGAGGGCCTACTCCGGGTGCGTGAAACTCTCAAACCAGCTCACAGTCGGTTGCTCCGAGGATTCCCTACCTTATTCAGGCTAGATGGACCACAAACCCTTCTAGGGCCCCCAGGAATGCTCTAAATGGGGTGTAGGGTTGAAGAGTTGAGGGCTTGAGGGATTCTAGGGGCAGGCCTTCTTCGTGTACAGGTCAGCATCTCGCTGCTTCTGCTTGAAGGCCAGCTCCTCCACATGGCGAAGTGTGAAACGCTAGGGTTTAGCGTTTAGGGTTTAGGGTTTAGGGTTTAGGGTTTACTTAAACCCCCAACCCATCCAAATCCGAAATGCTACACCCTAAACCCAATAGCCCTCGTACCCGGAACAGGCGGGAGGGGTCCCTAAACCCTAGTCCCTATAATACAGGGGCCTTGATAATTTACATAGGGTGGGGGGTTATTACAGTATAACTACATAGGGACCCTAAGGGAGTACGATTCGTAATCAACTGTTCCGGCCCCCCATATTACAGAGGGGCTGGGTGGGTGGGGGGGTGGGGAAGGGGGGGGGGGGGTGTCCTCTACCCTCCCGCACAACAGACCCACACAGGCCTGCGGGTTTAGTTTAGGGTTTAAGGTTTAGGGTTTAGGGTTTAGGGTCTAGGGTTTAGGGTTTCGGGCTTAGGGCATTGAGAAATACTGGAGGAGGGCTTGAAGCTTTGGGCTGTTCATGACCATGGCAAGGGAAGTCCTTCTAAAACCTTGCACTCCAGACTGCAGAAGAAGGGTTGAGGGTTTAGGGTTTAGGGTTTGGGGTTTAGGGTTTAGGGTTTTTGAGGGTTGAGGGTTTAGGGCTTGGAGTTTAGGGTTCAGGGTTTGGGGTGGACGGCATCGGCTTTAGGGTTTAGGGTTTCGGGTTTAGGGTCTAGGGTCTGGGGTCTAGGGTCTAGGGTTTCGGGTAAGGATTTCGGGCTTAGGGTTTAGGCTTTAGGGTTTAGGGTTTCGGGCTTCGTGGGTTTAGGGTTCAGGGTTTCAGGGTGCGTAGGCTCGGAGCTGACCTCGTCAGAGCTGGCCGTCTTCATCGTCTGCTGCACCTTGGGCTTCGGGCTTCCAGGGCTCTACCGGGGTTCTAAGGGTACCCTACACCTCTCACCCTCTAACCCTCTAACCCTAAACCATAACCCCTAAACCCTAGCCCTAAACCCTAGCCCTAAACCCTAAACCCTAAACCCTGAACCGTAAACCCCTAAACCCTAACCCTAAACCGAAAAGGGCTACGACCTTCTGGGGGCGTCGAGCTTGGACGGGTACTTATATGGTCCCTTGACATCGTCCCTTGCCTTGCTCTCCATGCCCCAACTATCTTTTCCCTAAGAATCTAAGACCTACAGAACGTAGTAGCCCTAAACCCTAGCGCCACCCAAAAGCCCTCTAGTAGTATCCATTGTCAACCGGCTTGGAAAACCCCTACCTCAGCCTTGAACACCCCCAAACTCGAAAAGCCTAAACCCCTTTAGGGATTGGGGATTGTGATTTAAGGTGCAGGGTTTAGGGGTTTAGGGCTTAGGGTTGGGGATTGGGATCTAGGGCTTGGGGTTTGGGGTTAAAGGGCTTGCTTGGGCGGTTTGTGGGCTTGCGCCGTTCTTGAAAACCTGACAGAGGCGAGCTGCATGCAAAGAAATCGCACACGATCACTCTTCCTAGCGTTGAAGTAGACCTGACCTCGCAGACAGGCGTACCTAGGGTTCGGGTTTAGGGTTTGGGGCTTGGGGTTCAGGGTTTAGGGTTTAGGGTTTAGGGTTTAGGGTTAGGGTTTAGGGTTAGGGTTTAGGGTTTAGGACCTAACCTGTCCTGGAAAGCTGGGGCACGAAGACAGAGTTGACCACGTTCAGGATCGCAAAGCCCAGCACGCACCTGCAACCGGGAACAAAATTCGCAAGCCCAAGCCGCAGCAGCTGTAGGGTTTAGGGTTTGGGGTTTAGGCTTTCCCAAGACCATTGAGGGAATGCTCCTGATTTGACAAACCTAACTGTCAATGTGAACAAAATTCCAGTGGCAGGGCAATGACAGTGGATGTTTGGGCTCAAGGATTAGGGTTTAGGGTTCAGGTTTAGGGTTAATCGCTGATCTCTGTGCCCTAGACCCTAGCGCCTCAGACTAGAATCTCCTGCAGCCCAAACATAGGAGCCCTTCTTGCGTCATGGGGTCTACAAGGGAAGCCAACCCTCGGCAAAACCAAGGCAGATGAGACCCCCTATGGCCTGTAGAGCAAGAAGAACACGGAAAACCATTCGCTGACATTCTCCACGAGGATCCGACAACAAGGACTCCAGTTGGCAAAAAGAATCCTGTGAGGCCGTCATCATCAGTCATCGGGGGCTTAGTTGAGGAAGGCTTGTTTGGAGTTTGTTCAGGGTTCAGGGTTCAGGGTTTAGGGTTTAGCGCTTAGGGTTTGGGGTTTAGGGCCTTTAGGGTTTAGGGCTGGTGGATGCCCCAGGGAGGTTCTACTTTTGGTACTAGTGACGAAATAGGTACCAAAGCTATACTATATAGGCTTTGGGTACCTAGTTCCATAACGTTGGTACATGTGGATCCTCACGGTGCTATGCGGTGGCCTGATTACGTCAGACCTGCCTGGGCTTAATTTTGAGTGAGGCACTCGACCCTAAACCCTAAACCCTAAACCCTAAACCGGGCTCAAGGAGTTGACGGTTTTAGCCCTCAAGCTCAGAGGCACACAACGCGAAGCTCGAAATCCTTGAGCCCTAAACCCTAAGCCCTAAACCCTAAAACCCTAAGAACCCTGAAAGCCCTGTAAGCTCTAAAAGCCCTAAAACCCAAAACCCCCAAAACCCACAAACCCTAAAACCTTGAAACCTAAAACATCCTAAATCGCCCGAAGCCCTGAAAACCCTAAAACACAAAAGCCCAAAACCCTACTGTAAACCGTAAACCCTGAACCCAAAAGCCCAAAACCCAGCAACAAACTCTAAACTGAATCGCCTTAAGTGATCCGCGGCTTGCGGAGCTCTCGAAGTCTCACATGAAGCACCTAACTTGCCGGTGCCTATTTAGGGTTTAGGGTTTAGGGTTTAGGGTCTAGGGTTTAGGGTTTAGGGTTTTCTGACGAGGGGCTCGAACATGGAAAGGGTCGTCCGGGAGAAGGTGCCGTAGTAAAGGAACACCGCTGACCGCCTCGGAGGGCTGTGTTCAGGGGTCAGGAGTTTAGTAGCCCCAATGCTTGAACCATACAAATCCTAAACCTTCTAAACCCTAAACCCTAAACCCTAAACCCTAAAGCCTATAAACCCTAAACCCTAAAGCCTATAAACCCTAAACCCTAAAGCCTATAAACCCTAAACCCTAAACCCTAAACCCTAAACCCGAAACCCTAACCACTACCCTTCGGGTTTGAGGCTTCGGGCTAAGTTTTTAGGGTTTCAGGTTCCCCTGCACCCTAAACCCCAAACCTCAAACACCCTAAACCCTAAACCCTAAACCCTAAACCCTAAACCCTAAACCCTAAACCCTAAACCCTAAACCTTGAACACCAGCCAAGCGGCACGTCGGCGGACTTGGACTCATCTTTAATGAAGTCGATGGTCAATGTGCTGAGGATCCTCGGCTCAGGGTTTCAGCACCCTAAACCCTACACACTACACCCTAAACCCTAAACACTAAACCCTAAACCCTAAACTTACCCTGGGAGTTCGGGTTTAGGGTTTAGGCTTTAGGGTCTGAAGGGTTCGGGGTGTTTCAGGGCTTTGGTTCTGTCAGTCTCTGGAGCCCTTAAGCCACATGTGGGGGTTTAGGGTTTAGGGTTTAGGGTTTAGGGTTTAGGGTTTAGGGTTTAGGGCTCAGGGTTTAGGGCTGTCCCTTTTGTGCCCCAACATACAGAGCGTCCCAGGGTCGGAGCTCCTGAGTCTGCCTAGTAGCCCAAACCCTCAACCCTCAACCCTCAACCCTCAACCCTAAACCCTAAACCCTAGCCCTAAACCCTAAACCCTAAACCCTAAACCCTAAAAACCCTAAACCCTAAACCCTAAACCCTAAACCCTAAACCCTAAACCCTAAACGCTAGCCCTAAACCCTAAACCCTAAACCCTGGAGGCTTTCCCAGAGATGCCGCCAGACAGCATACCCGCCACACACTGCACGAAGGTGAGGAGGCAGAAGCTCCAAAACAGCATGTCTCTGCTGGAGCCTAAGCACTTCACCTCGGCTGGGGTTTAGGGTTTAGGGTTTAGGGTTTAGGGTTTAGGGTTTAGGGTTTAGGGTTTAGGGTTTAGGGTTTAGGGTTTAGGGTTTAGGGTTTAGGGTTTAGGGTTTAGGGTTTGGGGTTTGGGGTTTGGGGTTTAGGGTTTAGGGTTTAGGGCTTGGGGATGAGCGTCTAGGGTTTACGGTTTAGGGTTTAGGCCTTGGGGCTTTGCAAGGCTCAAGGCTTAGGGGTGAAGCCATCATCTCTGCAGTTTTGTCTATGCTGAACCTGGAACCCTAGCAGTTTCTTAGGAATTACAGTGCCCAAATATTACATATTGTTTGCTGCTTCTTCGGAATCATAGTACCCAAAGTTCAAACCAGATTCCCAAGTATCCCTAAGTTTTGTGATGTTGAAGAGCGGGCTGGGGGTTAGGGTTTACGGTTTAGGGTTTAGTGCAGTTGCTGATGGGGCTGTGGCTGGCCCTCTATCCTGACACCCTGAGCCCTACTTGACCAGACACCCTAAACCCGAAACCGCCCGTAGCAGGGTGAAACGCACAACTGCCACCGGGGATCCTAGCAAGCTGTAATTCCCGTCTAGAAAATAGTAGGGTTGAAGGCACCAAGGTCTGGGGGAAGAAGAGTTAGTTCTACTTCGGGCCCTACTAAATCTTACCCCAACTATAATTAGCGCAGCGCCACCCCGTGCGATTCACCTAACGCTCTGATCCGCAAACGCCGAAACCCCGAAACACAAGGTCCTTGCTCCCTGCGCGCCAGGTTGCCAACAGTTGTAACGAGGCCAGAACCTCAGTTCACAGGGGGCGACTGGTCCTAAACCCTAAACCCTAAACCCTACACCCTAAACCCTAAACCCTAAACCCTAAACCCTAAACCCTAAACCCTAAACCCTAAACCCTAAACCCTAAACCCTAAACCCTAGCTGTGAGGGTTCAGGCTTTAGATGGCTTTGGAAATCTTAGGGCTTCCACACAGGCCCTTTTGACACAAAAATCCCAGAATCACGGTCTTTATCAATAGGGAATCGCAGCCCCGAAGCCGTTGCACTGACTGGCACCAACGGCCTAAGCGTGGGTTTAGGCCAGGAAGTTGTGGATGTTAAGGTTACGGCTTTGCGGGTCCCAGAGCCCTGCAGAATGCAGGAATTAGGGTTTAGGGTTTAGGGTGGGTATCTGGAACTGAACCTCTAATGCAGTTGCCGTCCGAGGTTTTGATGAACCCCAAATCATGAGACCCCTTCACGGCCCAAACTACCCAAAGCAGGCGAAAGTCCTGCTAGGGTTTCATTTAAGGTTGATGATATGGTCCTTTGGGGTCCGTAGAAGTAGGGTACGCCGAGGAGGGGCCATAGCTCAGCGAACTGATCTCATAAATGAACTTGGCGTTTTAGGTCTTTAGGCCTAAGCGCCCTAGCACTCTACACACGCTAGCACCCTAACACCCTCACACCCCAAGTCCCTAACACCCTAACACCCTAATCCTAAACCCTAAACCCTAAACCCTAACACCCCAACACCCTTAAGGCTTTGCTCTCTGAAAGCTGCAGGATGGCAGGCAAGTGGCCGAGGTCATGGACACAACCCGGATCGCTCTCGCAAGCTTCCCCAGACGAAGCAGTCGGAAGAGCACCTCTTTGGTGTTTAGGTGTTTCGGGTTTAGGGTTTAGGGTTTGGGGTGAGACTTTGCAGCCTCCCGAAACCCTAAACTGCTGGTCAGACGCTTAAGACAGAAGCCTGGTAGACAATCGCCAATATCGTCCCCTGAGGAATCCCTGTAAAATGATGCACTGTCAACCTCGTATTCAAACTCTACCTCTACTTTGGAGTAGACCCTGGAAGAAAAGTATATACTTTGCAGGTATAAGCAAGAAAAGGAGCCCAGAGCCGAACATGCATCATTAAAGTATAGTACTCCAAGACCCAGTTACATTCAAGTCAAGTAGGTACCGATGAAGCAGTGCCTGTGGGTGGGGGGGCGGGGGGTGGTAAGGGCTCCGAAGGCAATCTGCAGCTCTTGTTTTGTTTTCTTTTCGATCTTTAGGTGGAATACATAGGTTAACATTTCCCTTATAAGGAAAGAAGGGAAATCAAAAAAAAAAAACCAAGCACACCCCAGTTGAGGGCCGAAGGTTTATAAGGTTCAGGAGGGTTGGGCTTAAGGTTGCAGGACTTGCTTGAGTTTCTGCTTAGGCTTAAGGGCTTATTCTATTTTGCGGGGGAGGGAGGGGGGATTGGAGAGGGATTAGGGTGTAGGGTTCTGGGCTCAGGATGGATTGAGGGTTTAGGGTTTAGGGTTTAGGGTTTAGGGTTTAGGGTTTAGGGTTTAGGGTTTAGGGTTTAGGGTTTAGGGTTTAGGGTCTTCCAGCTGAGGTGCCGGTGGAAATGGCAGCGCAGTTGAGCTGGAGTACATGGCGATCTTGGCAGGCATAGGAAGCGATTCGAGTCGCTTCAACTCTAAACCCTAAACCCTAAACCCTAAACCCTAAACCCTAAACCCTAAACCCTAAACCCTAAAACCCAAACGTTTCAACTGTGAGCTCTCCACTTCGCCGAATGGCTAAAGACTCTGCGAGGCGAAGAAGTTGAGTGCGGGGGGAAAGTAGCGAAAAGCATCTAAACCCCAAATCCCTCGGTACCTAAACGCCCGAATTCTGAACCCTAAACCCTAAACCCTAAACCCTATATAAACCCTAAACCCTAAACCCTAACCACAGAGGAGAAATCACCTGAAAGATCCTCAAGACACGCTTGTAAGCGCCTACGTGCATCGGGTTTTAGGGTTTAGGGCTTTAGGGCTTCGGGTTTAGGCTGTAGGCTAAGGGCCTAGGAGGCTTCGGGGGGGGAAGGGGGGGGGGGGGGTGGTTCTGGGGTTTAGGGCTTTGGGACTAGGGAGTCTTGGGTTTAAGGTATTTGGGGTTTAAGGGCTTAAGGCTATGGGGTATGTATAGGGTTTAGGGTAGTTATATATGAGTACCCATGAGCCTGCAAGTAGAGGGCTTGGCTTGCAAGGCACCCTAAACCTACGCAAATCCAAATTGAGGGCACTACCGGGCATTCTGGGCTACGAAACCCTGAACTCCAAAACCTTAACCTTAAACCCTGAACCCTAAACCCTAAACCCTGAACCCTGAACCTCACCCCCTAAACCCCCCTAAACCCAGGGCCCTGAACCCTCAACTCCTCCAGGCTACGGCAGCTTCGAAGATGTTAGTGACCGAGATGGCAACGTCGATGTAATTGAGCCATACCTCTCCGCCAGGGGAGAGCAGCTCAGCCGAATGGGGTCAGGGGGCTTCGGAGAATGGGAAAGACCCCGTGTAGGGTCTATGGGTTTAGGGCTTCGGGCTTAGGGCTTAGGGAATACTTCGTTAGGGCTTGGGGGTTTTGAGTTCCACTAGGGCTTCAGGCGTCCACCACCTACGTTTTGGCTGGCCAAATGCCCTTAGGCCAAGGGATTAAGACTCGTACCCCTAAGGTTGTACCCCCTTACGGCGCCCCTCCGAATAATGGCCCTTAAACTCCCTGAGGAATCTTTAAAAAGGGTCCCCAAACCGACGGGTACAACCTTTGGGGTCCAGGGGTAGAGTCCCGTGATTAGGGCATAAAACGCACTTACAAAACTTACACCTGAACTCTTGTCGATGAACTTCAACGCAGTTACCACAATCAGTACACGATCATTCAGTACCCAGCCCTATTGTCGTAACTTAGTTTGAAGCTTCTTCAGACGAACCCAAAACCCTAAACCAAAAACATGTTTGCCAAAAACTCTGAGCCCGGCCCTGAACCCTAAACCCTAAACCCTAAACCCTAAACCCTAAATCCTAAACCCTAAACCCTAAACCCCAAACCCTAAACCCAAAACCCTAAACCCTAAACCCTAAACCTCAGCCCGTCCTTCCAGAACTTCGAGCGCAGAATGCACACTCGGACCAGCACATCGGTGGCAAAGATGAGTGTGAAGGCCCTCATCAAATTCTAGGTTTCTTTAAGGTTAAGGGTTTCTAGGGTTTATTTAGGGTTTAGGGTTTCTAGGGTTTTTAGGGTTTAGGGTTTGGGGTTTGGGGTTCTTAAGGGAGGGTTTAGGGTTTAATTAGGGTTTAGGGGTTAGGGTTTATGGTTGGGTTGTTCCCCCTTATACTGGCCGTCCTGAAGAGGCCTATTAAGGACTGCCAGTATGAGGGGGATCATCCCAATATAGGGTTTCAAGGGGGAGAGGGGGTTCAAGGGGCGTATTTTGCCCAAGTTTCCCTAGTGCTCCCTCCCCGCTACTCCCTAAGGCTCTGTAAGCTTCCCTAGGTACATAACCCCCATGATCATAACCCTAAACCCTAAACCCTAAACCCTAAACCCTAAACCCTAAACCCTAAACCCTAAACCCTAAACCCTAAACCCCCCCTCCCCTTCAGGACCCTCTGATCAAACTCAGCTCTGGGGTTGCAGCAAACGGGATTCAGGGTTTCCGGCGCCCAGCGCTTTCAAATGCTTCCCACCTTGGGATGTTCCCCCTTCTACTAACAGTCCTCAATTGGGGAATCTACTACCACCCATATAATCCCTATTAAGGTCTGTTAGCATAAGGGCGAACATCCCAACCTACACCCCAAAGAGTAATTCCGGAGCCTGCCCCCGCCCGAAAAAGAAAGAAACAAAAACCTCCAAGCCCTAGATCTGCGAACAGAATAAACTACAGTAATGCCCTATACCCTAAAACCAACCCTGATCCAAAAGCCTTTAACTTCGGAAATTCTGATGCTTGCTTGCAACCCCAAACCCCAAACCCCAAACCCTAAACCCCAAACCCCAAACCCAAACCCTAAACCCTAAACCCTACCCGGTCAAAAAAGGGGGTGCCCTTCTGCACTACTGGGCTCCCAAGTGATAGGAACCCGTAGTTTCGCACCCCTACCTTCAGAACCCAAAACCTCTGTTTGTAGGTTACCTACTTGGAGGTTCAGAGTACTTAGCAACCGAATCATAACTGCACTTAGAACCAAATTGTCACCCTGTTGGGGTACTTAAGGGGCCTATAAGTGGGTGATAACTACACTCATAATGGTTTCTAAGTACCTTGAACCTCCAAGTAAGAATCCGAAAAGAGGGTTTATAGTAACAACCTACACTCCTACAAAAGAGTAGGTCTGGGGTTCTTCAGGTACAGGCGTTGGTAGAGATCTCCCTAGCTTAGGGGTTGAGCGCTTGGGGATTCGAGTTTGGGGTTTAGGGCCTTGGGGTCTTTAGGAGCTCAGAAGGGTGGATACACCTCCAGGCAAGCAAAGCTCCACAAGGAATGACCAGGCGGAACGCGTAAAGTTCGTTTTTTTGGGGCAATAGGGGGGCGGGGGGTGGGTGGGTGGGTGGGGGTGGGGTGACTACACAAGCGCGTGTTACAGAAGGATGATGTGGGCCCTCAACCCTAAACCCCGCCACTCTCCTCGGCGCTTTTTTTGGATGGCAGCCTGCCGGTGCGCTCTTTTCGGCTGCAGTATACTACGCCCCTCGGCCCTACGCCGCCTTGCGGACGCAACGCGGCTCACATCCTCAGCTTACCTCGGGGTTGAGCGAAGCATCATGCTGCTCCTGTTCGTCGCCACATTCCTTCTTGGATGGCTGCCCATCTTCCGGGCTCTGATCAACCATCTCACCTTGGCGTTCCCTAAATTCCGTAAATTCCCTAAACCCTATACACCCTATAAGGGATCAATTCCCTGATTCCTCTACATCCCTCTTATAAGAGAATCGCAGAGTGGCAGTCTTCCTCTTTCGCCTCCTTCATTGCGGCCTCAGGGTTTAGGGTTTAGGGTTTAGGGTTTAGAGTTTAGAGTTTAGGGTTTAGGGTTTGGGGTTTAGGGTTGAGGGTTTAGGGCTTAGGGTGCCTCAGGATCCTTGGAAGTGCCATCAACTGCCAGCAGCTCGGACTTCACGTCGATGTCCAGGGTCTCCTTACTTGCATCCCACGGGTTTAGGGTTTAGGGTTTAGGGCCTGTAGGGTTTAGGGTTTAGGGTTTAGGGTTTAGGGTTTAGGGTTTAGGGTTTAGGGTTTAGGGTTTAGGGTTTAGGGTTTAGGGTTTAGGGTTTAGGGTTTAGGGTTTGGGGTTTAGGGTTTAGGGCCGGTAGGGTTTAGGGTTTAGGGCTTTTAGGGCTTAGGGCTTGGGGTTTAGGATGTAGGGGCCTTACTTGCATCCTAGGGCAACGAACTGGCCTAGCCATTTGGGGCTTCCATATAAGCATGTGATGCTACCTGCAGCCCCCCCCCCCCCCCCTACCCAGAAAAGGCAGAGTGCGAGAGAGAGGGAATACAGTGAAAGAGAAAGAGAAGGAGAAGGAGAAGGAGAAAGAGAGATAGAAACAGGGGTGAATAACCCTAAACCCTAAACGCAGGGCATGCTAAACGGACAAGTCTCAATCTTGACCCCGCCGGTTTCGGAGAACTCACACCCCGTGCTCAGAAGACCACTGCGCTCGAAGCCAGCCACAGCGGTCTCCTAGGGCGGATATAAAGAATTAGGGGGTTTGGGGTTTATGGTTGTTTAGGTTTAGGGCAAAGCGCAGAGTGGTATAGGGATTGGGGTCCCCTAAACCCTGTAAACCCTGTAAACCCTATAAACCCTATAAACCCTGTAAACCCTGTAAACCCTATAAACCCTATAAACCCTATAAAACCCTATAACCCCTATATACCCTACAAGAAATACAAACCCTACAAACCCTAAACCCTAATCAAACCCTAAACCATAAACCCAAGTCTCCTGTTTCACTGGCGATTCGTGCGCACTTGGCATTGACTTCGGTGCAGGAACGGTCGGAAACCTCAGTTTTGGTGACGGTTTGGGGTTTGGGGTTGGGATCCTACTATCCCTTAAACCCTAATTCTGGAGTCCTTATATGCCTACGCAGCCCCAAAACAGCCCCCATGTATGCCCTACAGCAGGGGCCCCTGATAAGCGTCCCTGCTTCAGTCGGTGATTTTTCAAAACCCCCAAACCCCAAACAATTCAAAGCGTGTTCACGCGCGCCACACACGAAGCCCAAGAAAAGAGTTTAGAATTTTGGGCTTCAGGCTTCAGGTTTGAGACCCATTTTGGGAGGCTCTGCATCTTTATTGTACAGAGCAGGACTCATGGGATGAGATCCTTCGCACGACTGCGATGTGAAGCATGTCCAAAAGTGGCTGCTGTGACCTGCTTTGAGCAGCGCGACACGTGGAAGGAGCCGTGAATCCGAGAAAAAACAATCGCAACATTTTCTCTAACCCTAAACCCTAAACCCTAAACCCTAAACCCTAAAGCATGAACCCATTGGCAGGGACGGGAGCGAACCGCTGCTGCGCTCCTTCTTCTGTTTAAGGTTTGGAAGATCGGCTTGGGACCTATGGGAAATAGATACCGGTTTAGGGTTTAGGGTTTAGGGTTTAGGGTTTAGGGTTTAGGGTTCAGGGTTTAGGGTGTAGAGTTTAGGGACCAGAACTTACAGAGCTTAAAACAAACGGCAACACAGCAGGGTCCAAAAACTTGTCTTGCAGTAGCTCAATCGTTTGCCGCAAAAAATCTCACACAACCTTAGCCCCCCAAGGCCAGACCCAAAAAATTACCAATGCCCCTGAACCCAGGGCACGCGGGGCATGAAGGCAATGCAAAGGGTGACTCTGCAGAGAACACGGACGGCGTCATCACCGGCATTCGCGGCATCGTCTGGCACCGAGCGTTTGGGGGTTTAAGGTTGGGATGTTCCCGCTTGTACCCCCAAACCCTAAACCCTAAACCCTAAACCTTAGGGATTATAGTACCCCCCCAAGTATAATCCCCATGAAGGACTGCTAGCATAAGGGGGAACATGCCAAGCTTCAGGGTTTCATTCGGTTTAGCGCCGTCAGGTTTATAAAGGCATGCGAGATCCATGAGGTTCAGGGTTTAGGGCTTAGGGTTTAGGGTTGCCCTAAACCCTAAACCCAAAACCCTAAACCCTAAACCTTAAACCCTAAACCCTAAACCCCGGGACGGGGGTCTGGGTCTCGGGGACAGGGTCAGAGCGTTGCGACCTGGCCTCTGCAGAAAGGGGGAGGTGCCAAAGCGTCAGCTGCGAGGCAGAGTTCCAGAAGAAGTCGCATCGGCTCCCTGCCAGGGGTTTGGGGTTTGGGGTTTGGGGTTTAGGGTTTAGGGTTTGGGGTTTAGGGTTTAGGGCTGCCATGACAAAAACAAACTAAACAAAAGGCATAGGGTACCACTGGGCTACCAAGTCTTAAATCCAACCTCACTCAACCCTAACCACCAAACACTAAACATTATAATAACCCTAAACCCTAAACACCAAACCCCAAACCCTAAAAGCCAAACCCCAACCCCTAAACCCTAAACCCTAAACCCTGAACCCTAAACTCTAAACCCTAAACCCTAAATCCTAAACCCTAAACCCTAACCGCAGGTCCGAGCTTCTTTCGTCATAGAGGCGCTCCCACCAGCCTTCGTGCCTGGCTCTGCATGGGATTTGGGTTGTTGGGTGCCTAAGCGCCCTAAACCCTAAACCTTAAACCCAAAACGCGAAACACCGAAACCCTGAAATCTGGGGTTCAGGGTTCAGGAGCCAGTTCCCTAGCCTTGACTTCAGACCCTAAACCCAACCGGAAAAGAGCTTTGAGAACTTCAACACTTGTGTTTAGGGTTTAGGGTTTAGGGTTTAGGGTTTGTTAACCCCAAACCCTGAACCATAAATAGGATGGGGGCGGGGGGAGGGGGCGGGGGGCGCTGACACCTAAGGCCCAACCCCCCAGTCCCACCTTACTTGTCCAGTTGCCTGGTAAAGGCAGGGCAGCTTAGGGCCTAGGAGTTAGGGTTTGGAGCTTAGGGTTTACGGTTTGGGGTTTAGGGTTTAGGGTTTAGGATGCTAGCCTGCAGGTCCATAGGCAGTTCGAGCTAGAGTCATGTAAGCAGGGTATCCACAACTGCATCCAGTCATCATCCTCTGCGTGGG